GGACAGAATCCGATAGAGTCCTTTTTTTTCCCATCACGCTTTATCCCTGCTGGGGTCGTGCTGGTGTCTATCTCCAGCTGTCTACGGGCGAGAGGCGGGGTCCACCCTGTGCAGTTTGCCAGTCTATTGCAGGGCAACACAGAGACAATCGGGACAAACAACCATTTATGCACAGACTCACACATAAGGAGAATTTAGAGAAGCCAATTAACCTAACAGTCATATTTTTGGACTGTGGGAGGAAGCTGGAGTACCCGTGGAAAACCCATCAAGGAGAACATGCAAACTCCAAGCAGAAAGACCCCGGGCTGGGAATCAAACCCGGAATCTCCTTGCTGCAAGGTAGCAGTGCTACCCACTGCTCCGCTGAGCACCCCGCTTATTTAAATTTCAATCTGAAAAACTCACACGAAGAGAAATGTATTGATACAATTACTTGGTCTTTGGCGCTCAGGCATCAGCAGGAAATATAGAGCTGAATTTTGATATAAATGCATCAACAGGAGCAAAGAATAGGGGTGTTTCCCCCCCAGGCCTGAAACTGCTGGTGGTGTGGAGATAGATGAAGTTGGTCAGTCTGTAGACTGCTGGTTAGCGAGACGGTCTGCTGAGGTTTATGGGGAGATCCAGTGGACTGCATGAGCTGATACTAGAGCTTCACTCATGGACCTGGAACATGGAAGTCCAGTTGGATAACACAGGTTGAGAGAACCTGTCCATGATGAGCAAGTATGGGGTGACAGTGGAGAGGAAAAACTCCCCATTGGGAAGAAACCTTTGTCAGAACCAGTTTCAACATGGCGGTCTTCTGCCGGACTGGTTGAAATGAGACGCTGAATGCAATAAGAGTCCGGGAGGAATTAAACTCTGATGACGTTTAGCTACGATGGTGGAGGAGCGGCTGGAGGTGGGTTTAAACGGGGTCATCTGAATGAAGTCACACAGCGCAACCACCGCCAGGGAGCAGACAAGATGTGGATCAGAGGCCTTCTAAGATGAACTTTAGATGCTGATTGGCTTTCGTGGAGGTGTGGTTCAAAGCTGATTGGCTGTGTCGCAGGAGAGCAATCATTTTCTTCAGTTGAACTTCCGCCTAGGCTCCATTTTATTCCTGTCCTCATTTCCTGTTTGTACTCATTAATAGTGTTCATTAAGACATTTTAAGTCAATCCAAAGTGTTTATTTCTAGCTAAAGCTGGTTTCACTTGTCTTCTGAAATGATGAGGGCATCATATTGCGCTTTATCATATATCTTGCTATTTTTAGCTAAAATAATCACAGCTCGCTGTGAAAGTTAAGAACGGGCGCCTGATGGAGGCTGTGTTTCAGTTTAGCCATCTGATATCCAGAAAACACTGACTGTGTTTCTGACTCTGCTTTGTGCTGATGGGGTTGTGACCACTACAGGAAAGCTCTACTTGCTGTTTCTCAGCAACAGAGGTTTGTGTCTGTGGTTCATTTCCACAGTAACCAGTGCTGATTTTTATATTTAGCAGACTTCACTCTGATATGAATACATACAAGGATTCAGCAAGGTTGCCTAACAAATAGAAATTAGTTTAAAGTGGTGATAGTTTTTTCAGTGTGGATGTAGAATGAATTTGTCTTGTAAAGAACTGTAGGAGGTACAATAAGGATATACAGACTTGAGGGAATCGAAAAAAGCATGTAATAAAAAATACAAAAAGGAGTTTATTTAGGTTTATTGTAGGGCTGCAACTAGTATGCATTATTATGCTAATCAATTAATCTGTTGATTAATAATCAGATAGCAAAGGGTTTCCTATAGAAAACCTATTCAGTTTTGATATAATTACTACTGTTTTGCATTTACAGGTAAAGGCATGCTTTACAGTCTCTATACTCTGGTTAACATTAATTGACAGTTAATTCAATAATCAATTCATAACAGTTAATCCAATTTATTGTTTAAGGCCTAGTTTATTGGTTCTGAAGATGGTGGATGGTTTTGTTGTAAAATAATAGTTTTCTTACTGATGTATTTTAGTACTCATAAGATTAGACTTAAATAAACAACTCTGATTGAATGCCTCTCATCTAGCTATACAGTAATTGATTGATTGACTTTATTGATCTCACAGGGCAGAAATTTACTCGTTACATCAGCTCAAATAGTCAAAGAAGAAGAAGGTGCCAAAGAGAAAAAGGTGCATGGGACATGTAAAGTATATACAGTGCGTCCACATATGACAGCTTTTTTAAATTTTTTTATAGTAGGATTATTATACAGGGTTATTGCATAGGGTGTTTACATGTGTATTTATATAGATGGATATTTTTATATATAGTTATTGCACTGGATATCAATTATAGAGAAACATTTCCAAATAAACCAGAGGAAACTCTGCTTGAATCATGTTTATTAAATCCCAAACGTACTACTACAAAAGGACTTACTTCATCTGTTTACAAAATTTTTCTTTACTTTTCACCAGCTTATGACAAGCACTCAAAAAAATCTAAATGGGAGTTGGACTTA